GGTTTGGGTCATGTTGTGCACAGCACGCTGGAACCTTTATCATTTATCAGCCGGCCAGTTGCTCAATGTTTTGCTACAATAAGCAGGTTAGTATGTGAAAGTTATTTATTTTTTTCACTAAATTTTCTTATCACTGCATGGTCGGTACTACGTCAGTCGTAGTATTCGTAGTATTTTCAGTTTACTACAGCGATAATTTTTTATTTTTTGGAATTTGAGCAGTGAAATATTTTGAAAATGTTTAGGTCGGTGCAGTTAGTGTACGTGAATCATATTTTACCGTCAGTGGCGCTGGAGAAGTTACCATTTGAACCACACTTCCCGTTTGATTCATACAACTTGAAAAGGTGCTTTCAAAGCATTTTTTTTTTTTTTTTTGCAGAAATGCTTAACATATTTTTCCATCTCGTTCCAACTTTAACAAATTTTCAGATCTCTGAGTTTTATTTCGACGCTTACAAAACAATTTTCACCGCTTGCTGAAGATAAGAATGTTCTGAAATGTGAATTGTTATGGAAACGAGCAAATCAGGAAGTGGATATCCAGAAGGTTGAGGAAACTATCGGCTCATGGGAGTTTTTGCAAGATATCAGGCGCGATCAGAACGAGAAAATAGGTTAGCTCAAACAACGCATTTGCTCGCGAAATCAGTTTTACGGAATCACTGTAGCAGTAAAAGACACCTGGTACAGGTTATCTGTATTGATAATCCTGGTGCTTTTGCAATCCCAAAAAAAATGATGCAACTCCAAAAAAACATTCGTTGAGCTTTACTTAATTGAAAAATATCGAGGTTATAAATTAGTGCAGAAAATAGAACTTACAGTTAAAATATTGAAGCGAAATGTTTCGGTCCATCAAATCGTGTACATTCTTATTCAGGTGATGAAGCTATAGGTTTTATGGCTGACACCGTATCGCCTTTTAACCCGACTACCGCTGCTGCTGCTAGCGAATTTCTAACGATTTATTCAAGTTCACCCGGGCTCAAGCAGTTCAAAACGTCTTCCCATGAAAGCATGTTTTGTTTAATTTTTTTTTAGTGTGAATTGTAAAGTGGGTGTTGACTTTTTTCAGTGAAGAACTTCGGACTTGAGTTTTATCACACATGTGAGTCGAAAAATTGTAAGCGTCTAAAACGGGGTAGGTCAAAGAAGTAGAAAATGCAAACTACTTTCACATTAGTTTTTTGCAACAGACGAAGCCACTGGGAAATGGTAACAAGTGCCAACAACAACTTGTTGATAAAGCTGTCCGTGGGTTGCTTTCCTTCGAGTTTGTTACAAACAGGCTGATAATGGCGTGTACCAGCACCAGTTTACAACCGAAATGGGTGAATGAGTTGTGGGGAGACTAGTTGCTCCATTGGTGGATTCGAACTCCGATCGAATGAGGAGTAACTTATGTCTCTTTTGAAATAAAAATTTCATTTTTTAAAATGGAGTGGCATTGACTTTTTTAAACTTGTTGTCCAGTTTACAGGCATGCATCAATCAAGCAGAATATGAGCGTATGTGCCCAAAAGATGGGAAAAAGGAAATCCGAAAGTTTGATAACTTTGCAGTTTCTTTTTTTCTGATTCATTTCAATGTTGTTATTTTGCTATTATCATTTTTAACAGTTTATAAATTCCTTTTTTTGAAGCAAATATTCTGTTTACGGCAGCGGACAAGGATTTAATCATGGTGCATACTTTCATTTATATTCTGCTGATTTTGGACAGTTCATTCCTAACAAGCATGCAGTTTTATCCTTTCATTCGTTCATTTTTGAAATTACTGGAAAATTATATTTTATAAGTTCGTTTGCGTTCCAGCCTGCCAGCTACTTAATCAAAGAATCATCCAGTTTTAAACTTTT